TCCTTTAACCCATTTTGGTATTATACTTATGTCAACACCACCGTATCATCATTAAAAGGCATTGGCTGGAACCCTACTGGTGTTTGCAGAAAGTCTGTGCAAACCGCATTGGCTAATTGGGGAGGTGGTGGACTGCATGTTGGTTATGCTATCAGGCATGTGACTAGAATGCAACTGAGACAGCTCCCAGCACCTTGGCAATTATCCACAATTAGCCATGGTACGTTACACAGTTCTTATGTGAACACAAATTGGATGCTGGCCATTAAGACACAATAAAACAAATCACTTCTAATTTCTGAGATTTTTACCATGAAGTATGTAGCTGTCATCCAAAAAAGACTAACAATAGTCAGAGTACAGGAAGTGCATGCATAACGTTGAGCATGATTTTCATTACAGGACAGAGGATTATCAAGAGAGGTTTTTCCTCAAGTATCTATGGTACATTTTGTGCAAACAAAAGTCTTCTCAGTTGTTGCACTTTGGCTATAAAATAGGCTCCACATTACTATGAGATGTAATAGATGCCAACTCTACAAATGTGCTAGTGCTAGCTCATACAATCTTTGTTTACCCTGCCATTTTAATTGACTGCTACCATACATTTTATTACATTCCTTGCTTTTGTGTTCTTATTATGATGTATGGTTTTGTGTGGTTATGGTTTATAGCTGTGTACCACCTTGGTATGTGTAAGTACAAGTGTTTCATTATGTTTAAACAAACAAATAAAATGTGCTGACACTTCTGTCAACAGCCACACAACTACAGCAAAAACTACTTTCACCACATGGGCATTAGAAAGAGAGGCCCAACTACAATGATCTTAAAACACTTGACACCTTTACCCATTTAAAAAAGTTAAATGTTGCTTAGAAATCAACAATAATTTTATAAAAATCTTATTTGAATACAGCCATGCACCAGAATCTTTACTGTTACAGCTCATAATTCCAAGGTCTTCAACACAAGCCACAAGAAACATTCAGCTATTCACTCAGTTAAATGTCATGTGATTTTTAGAACTCAAAGCACAAACTTAAAAGTGACAGCTGAATGGCTGTAATTAGCATAAACAGAGAGAGAATTAATGCTTTCCTGGCAAATAGAAGGGGAAGATATGGAGGCAGTGACAGATTTTACCTTCTTGGTCTCCATGATCATTGCAGATGGTGACAGCAGCCATGAAATTAAAAGACGGCTGCTTCTTGGGAGGAAAGCGATGACAAGCCTAGAAAGCATCTAGCAGAGCAGAGACATCACCTTTCTGACAAAGGTCCACATAGTCAAAGCTATGGTTTTTCCAGTAGCAATGTATGGAAGTGAGAGCTGGACTATAAAGAAGACTGACCGCCGAAGAAGCTTTTAAATAGGCTCTTGAGAGTCCCCTGGACTGCACAGGGAGGAGAGTTTATTCCTTTTGAGTCCACTAATAGTTTCTTCCATCAGTGCAAGAACCCAAATAGAGTCTGGCCATTAAACTAAAACCCAACAGAGCAGAATATCATATGAAGATGAGCTTGATGAATCCTTCAAAGATAGCAAAGCACAAATAAATAGCTTAGCAGTTTTCCTCAAATGTTCATTCACAGACTGACCACTAAAACCTCAAACCAAATTCTAGCAGCTTTATAAAAAGTTGCCTTTTACAACATTTGTCTGAGGAGTCACCTGTCACCAGCCCTAGAAAAACCATCAATTTTTTGGCTTGTAAAATAAGTTCTGGAGGAGTGGTGCTGGAGGAGACTCTTGAGAAACCCCTGGGCTGCAAAGAGAACAAACCTCTCCATTCGGAAGGAAATCAACCCTGAGTGCCCACTGGAAGGACAGATCTTGAAGCTGAGGCTCCAATACTTTGGCCATCTCATGAGAAGAGAAGACTCCCTGGAAAAGACCCTGATGTTGGGAAAATGTTAAGGCAAGAGGAGAAGGGGACGACAGAGGACGAGATGGCTGGACAGTCTCACCGAAGCTACCAACAAGAATTTGACCAAACTCCAGGAGGCAGTGGAAGACAGGAGGGCCTGGCGTGCTCTGGTCCATGGGGTCACGAAGAGTTGGACACGACTTAACGACTAAACAACAACAATCCAATTAAAGCTGGGTGAAAAGTTAGATATTTGTAGTTACTGCTTTTTCTTGCTTACATTTATGTCACAACTTATGTATTCTGAAGGGCTGTCTATTTGCACTTGATTTGTGATTGGCTTAGAAGTAAGATTTGTATCTTTGTGATCCCAGTATGTCAGTGCCATGGATAATCATTACAGAGGCTTGGGTTGTAAACAAAGCTTTTTATCCTTATGCTAAGTGGGCTGAAAATCTTTTGTAACTTCATGCAAAAGTTTTGCAACGATAATATATATCTACTCCATATTTAAAAAGTAAGTGAACTTTCAACTCCGTCTGAGCAGAAAATATCAAAAATTTCAAAACTTGCTCATTGATGTTTGATTACCGTGTCTTATGTAGTAGCCAGCTGCTTTGTCTTTCTTGACAACTTTGGCTGTATTTATGTTGGAGCTGGGCATCGTGAGTTCTTCTGTAGGAAACGCTTCACTTCTCCCAATAATTTTAGAAGGCCTGATATGAATTTCTCTTTTGCAGCTGACAGCTTTGGCTTGCTGAGTGATTGATCTTAGCTTCTCATGTTGGAGGTAATATTTAGTATTCAGACAAATTCTTTTGAAAAATCCGTACTTCTTCCATACCTAGCTCTGTTCTTCCTTTTGTCACTGGCACTTGACTGCACTTGGAGAATACATTCCAATTGTCACTGTTGATTGATTGCTGATTTCTCTCTTAAAATCAGCAAAATTGGATCCTTGCTGAAGTAACTAAGCATATTCTGATGCAGCACTTAATATCCCTACACTTTATGTGACTTGGTAGCAAAGATGGCAAAGAGAGCTATAAAAATTATCAGCTCTCACTTTCTTTGGCACTTGGGGTGGTCAGATGGTCTGAAAGAAGAAAACTCAACTCATTTACCAATCCTTTCTTGTCTACCTTTCTGGAAAGCAATACTTAATTACCACAAAGGAGCTGAGAAGATGTTGTTTGAAAGCCTGAGTCAGGATCTGTTGCTTTGCATGGGAATATATTAGGTAGCATATGATTTAAGCTGCCAGGTTGTTGCTATGAAGCTATGATACAACTTTTTATAAGGTGGCACATCCATTTTATATCTGTCTGCTGAGTCCCTGTAGGACTGTTTCCTTCTTTAAGTTATGCAGTGCAGTAGCTGTATGAGTCTTAGATTTTAGGTGGTTAATAAGGAACTCCAGTTTGATTTTTCATATGCACAGTTGTGGGTGATACAATAAAACTTGCGTTCTGTGCCAGAAACTACTGCTATTGTGTTGGGTCATAACAAGAATCTAGTAACAGTTGAAGCCAGGTTATCCTACAACATGGGTTTGGAAGGCTATCAAATGTGGAGGTTCACAGTTTAAAAAACTCAGTACCTTACTCAGGAGCAATCCTAACTGGATTCTATATTTCCAGATATGATTGTGGCCTTAATCTTTTCCAGAGGGCTTACTATGCAGCAGGAGTTTTATGGCACAGTTCATTGTTGAGGTGTAAAAAAATTAAAGTAAAACCATAAAGTTATTGACTGTCAAAGCATCTAAGGCACTGGTTCTTAACCTTGGGTTACTCAGGAGTTTTGGACTGCAACTCCCAGAAGCCTTCACCACCAACTGTGCTGGCTGGGGTTTCTGGGAGTTGCAGTTTAAAAACATCCAAGTAACAAAGGTTAAGAACCACTGACTAAGGCACATAAGTGCTAAAATAAAGCAGGACCCCTGACAACTTAGGAAGTTAGTTCCTAAAATCCTAAAACTTTGATTTTGATACCTAGGGCCCTTCCTCTTCTACACTTCAGTTTATATACTTTCACTCATACAAAGGCTACTTAGTTCTGCTATGTGATTTGCAGATGAGAATGTTTCATTCACAGCCTAGAGGTAACAGCTAGCTATGGAAAAACCAGCTTTCTTCTGCAATAATGAAGGTGTATCTTGGCTGCATTTTGATTGTGACTTATTGACAGATAACTTCACTCCTTTTGCAGTGTTAACTCACATTTTGGTTCCTGTTTTTCTAGTCAACGTTTTGTTCAGATCTTGACTTGAGCTGTTGCTTTATGTTCCTGCTTCCTGCTGTGTTGTCGTGTTGAGGTGACAGTAGAATGGATGGGAGGAGAGTGTATTTTGTGCCACAGGCCAGAAGGTTGTAGCTTTCAGACATTTTTAAACTAAGAAAGAAGGAGCTATTATTTATTAAATTTGTATGCTCATGTTGAAGTGCACAGAAGTTAGGTTTAGAAGAGATTTAGATGAGTGACGATAAAACCTTATAAACTATACTTATCCTTTTTACTTGTCTTTAAGGTATGATATATCTTTTCTACATTCTCTTTCAATCAAGGGGAAAATATGAGAGTTAAAGCATGTGCTGGGGTTTGCCCTTCAGTGTCAGTGCTCATAATTACTTCCTTTTTTTCTTTTGTAGGGAGGGAAATGAACCAGGGGATTCCATGAAGATTACATACAGTGAATTGCTGAGTCAGGTCTGCCAATTTGCCAATGTTCTTCAGCAACAAGGTATCTGACTCTGCAGGGTCCATAAATTTGCTTTCCGTGGGAATCTTTCTTCTACCTTTCACAAATACGAGTCATTCCTCCTGAACTTGGAACTGTGGAAAGAGGACATGGGTTTGTGTCTCAAGTGATGCTATGCTTGGGAGGCAATTTGTCCCTAAATTGTAACACAGCACACACACATGTCTTTGGTTTCCTTCTGAGATGGGAGGATAGGTTATATGTGACCTCATGGTATGCCGAAAGTGGGAGAGAGACAGGATTATGAAAAGTTTGCATATATGTTGGTTGCCCTGTGTAGCTAGAAGCCTTCACTTCTGTAATTAGGAAGATACTTAGTGATACTGGAATTGGAGTTGTGGACATATGCTAAACCAATGAGCCAGATTGTGTGTCAAGAGAAGTCTTGAAGATCTGCATTATGATTCTGACATGTTTTTAAACTGGAAGAAAAGAAGTGCCTTGCTTTATGCCTCCAGTATTACAATCTTGTTCCTTGTCAGGGCTCTTGCTCCTTTCTCTGGAAAGAGGGTGCTAACCTGGGGCGAAGAAATTCCCCTCTTTCAGTTCTACTGACAGAAGCAGTTCTAAGATGTATTTCACTGTGTTTGGGGCTTAGAGTTCACAAAGGTTTAGAAATGAAATATTATAATATGCTTGCTCTTGATTGTAGTTTGAGAAAAACTAGAGTGAAAATGTTCTCTACATCGGACATTTCATGACTTCCACTTATTGGTGACCCTGGGGCAGAGCTGGAGTTGATAAAGTTTAATTTCTAAACATGCATATTTGATTTTTGAAGAAATTATTAGCTTGAGCTTTTCAGACTTATTCTCGCTTTCTAATGTTTTGGTGGTATTACTTCTCTTGAAATGCCAGGATATGGGCCACAACAATTGAATGACAAAATTGGATGTAACTGGCTTGAGAAACATTTATTTTCTTCCATAGGGGTGAAGAAAGGAGACAGAGTCTCTATTTACATGCCGATGATAATTGAACTGGTAGTAGCTATGCTGGCCTGTGCAAGAATTGGAGCACTTCATTCCATTGTGGTAGGAAGATGCAGTTTTTTTTGTGTGAATTATGCTTTTGTATGACTGCTGATTTAAAAGCAGATGATAGATTGAATGAACTAGTAGCTATCCTTTTTTAAAAGCTTGTATTGCTTTTTTTGCATGAAATGTTTCTTTTGACTGAAGAGAGTCTAGAATAATTGTTTTTTTTTTATGCCGTTGTGTTCAAACTGATGGCAGCTGCGGTGTTTTTATTATACCCCTTAAGAAACCTTTTCAGGAGAAGCTTTTTCACACTGATATGTGAACTCTGCACATTTGCCATATACTCCATTCACTTGTGTTTCAGATTCCATGCCACAAAGTATAAGAGAAACTTGGTAGTAACTTGGTCGTTCATTCGTTCGTTCGTTCGTTCATTTAGTCGTGTCCGACTCTTCGTGACCCCATGGACCAGAGCACGCCAGGCCCTCCTGTCTTCCACTGCCTCCCGGAGTTGTGTCAAATTCATATTGGTTGCTTCGATGGCACTGTCCAACCATCTCATCCTCTGCCGTCCCCTTCTCCTCTTGCCATCATACTTTCCTAACATCAAGGTCTTTTCCAAGGAATCTCCTCTTTTCATGAGATGGCCAAAGTACTGGAGCCTCAGCTTCAGGATCTGTCCTTCCAGTGAGCACTCAGGGTTGATTTCCTTTAGAATTGATAGGTTTGTTCTCCTTGCAGTCCAGGGGACTCTCAAGAGCCTCCTCCAGCACCACAATTCAAAGGCATCAATTCTTCGGTGGTCTGCTTTCTTTATGGTCCAGCTCTCACTTCCATACATCACGACAGGAAAAACCATAGCTTTGACTATTCGGACTTTTGTTGGCAAGGTGATGTCTCTGCTTTTTAAGATGCTGTCAAAGGTTGTCATCGCTTTCCTCCCAAGAAGCAGGCGTCTTTTAATTTCGGGGCTGCTGTCTCCATCTGCAGTGATCATGGAGACCAAGAAAGTGAAATCTGTCACTGCCTCCATATCTTCCCCTTCTGTTTGCCAGGAGGTGATGGGACCAGTGGCCATGATCTTAGTTTTTTTTATGTTGAGTTTCAGACCATTTTTTTG